TTTTCTGGGATTTTTCTGGGATTTTTCTGGGATTTTTCTGGGATTTTTCTGGGATCTCTCCTGGCCAGCTGACTCAGGACCCGTCGTGTTTGCCCATGAAGGAGATCCCAGAGTGGGATTTTAATGGGATTTTTCTGGGATTTTTCTGGGATTTTTCTGGGATCTCTCCTGGCCAGCTGACTCAGGACCCGTCGTGTTTGCCCGTGAAGGAGATCCCAGACCGGGATTTTCTGGGATTTTTCTGGGATCTCTCCTGGCCAGCTGACTCAGGACCCGTTGTGTTTGCCCGTGAAGGAGATCCCAGACTGGGATTTTTCTGGGATTTTTTTGGGATTTTTCTGGGATTTTTCTGGGATTTTTCTGGGATTTTTCTGGGATTTTTCTGGGATCTCTCCTGGCCAGGGGACTCAGGACCCGTCGTGTTTGCCCGTGAAGGAGATCCCAGACCGGGATTTTTCTGGGATTTTTCTGGGATTTTTCTGGGATCTCTCCTGGCCAGCTGACTCAGGACCCGTCGTGTTTGCCCATGAAGGAGATCCCAGACTGGGATTTTTTTGGGATTTTTCTGGGATTTTTCTGGGATATTTTTGGGATTTTTCTGGGATTTTTCTGGGATCTCTCCTGGCCAGCTGACTCAGGACCCGTCGTGTTTGCCCGTGAAGGAGATCCCAGAGCGGAATTTCTCCGGGATCTCTCCGGGATCCCTCGGGGCCGGTGACTCAGGGCCGCGCCCGGCCGCGCCTGGCACAGGCATGTGCCAGCCTGGCACCGGCCAAAGTCCCGGCGCCGCCCCGGAGCCGCCCCAAACCCGCTGGGATGGGCCCGGAAACCCGCTGGGATGGGTCTGGGGTCTCATCCCGGGATGTGTCCGGAGGAGATCCCTGATCCCAAACCAGCCCCAGGAGCAGATTGTGGCGTGGAGCCGTGCCAGCGCCGCAGGAAACTGCGGTGGCGGCTGTGGGATCGGCGTTCCGGCGGGTGAAGGGCTCGGGGTCATTCCCAGTGGGATCAGTAACCCGGGGTCATTCCCGCTGGGATCAATAACCCGGGGTCATTCCCAGTGGGATCAATAATCCGGGGTCATTCCTGCTGGGATCAATAACCCGGGCTCATTCCCAGTGGGATCAGTGGGGTCATTCCCAGTGGGATCAATAACCTGGGGTCATTCCTGCTGGGATCAGTGGGGTCATTCCCAGTGGGATCAGTGGGGTCATTCCTGCTGGGATCAATAACCCGGGCTCATTCCCAGTGGGATCAATAACCCGGGGTCATTCCCAGTGGGATCAATAATCCGGGGTCATTCCCACTGGGATTGAGGAATCCCCAGGTCCCCAATCTCCCTGTTTTCCCCCAAACCCCGGGGGTCCCACCACATCCAGGGGGTCCCCCCAAACTTCGGGGATGCCCCCAAACTCTGGGGATCCCCCCAAACTCTGGGGATCCCCCCACTGACCCCGGGGGTCCACACTGACCCCGGGGGTCCCCCCGAACTCTGGGGATCCCCCCAAACCCTGGGGGTCCCCCCACACCCCGGGGGTCCCCCCACACCCCGGGGGTCCCCCACTGACCCCGGGGGTCCCCCCACACCCCGGGGGTCCCCCACTGACCCCGGGGGTCCCGCTGACCCCCCCGTCCCCGCAGACGTTCACGGCCTGGTGCAACTCCCACCTGCGCAAGGCCGGCACGCAGATCGAGAACATCGACGAGGATTTCCGGGACGGGCTCAAGCTGATGCTGCTGCTCGAGGTCATCTCAGGTCAGGCCTGAGCCCAGATCCTTAAACCGGGCTCGAAAACACCAAACAGGGCACAAAAACACCAAACGGGGCCCAAAAACCT